TAGATGAGCCACATGAAACTGCTTCTTTACAGAAAGCAAGCTATTCTGTGATCAGCAGGACTAGGAGGTCTCATTTCACGCCTTCTGTCACCTGAACTCCCCAATAACTCCTTTCCCTCAGTCCCAGTCGCTTTACTGGGCATGTCAGTGTAGCAAGTTGAGACCTAGCTGTTGATCAGCCAGTTTGTATTCTGCTTCATTAGCCACCGGGTACTGTGCTGGATGGGTGGCTAAAGCGGCTGAGAGAGGCCAAAGAGCCAAGTGTAGAAACAGGAGCACTGGGGCTTTTGCTGGTTTTGTTGGGTTTTGAGGAGGGGAGGTTGGGGAGATTGGTCCTGCTCCTTCCCCCTGCCCCCTGAGTTTTATGAGTCTGGTAGGACCTTTTTCTTCCAGTTAACTTCGCTTGGGAGGATTCCAAGTTCAAAAGTTTCATATTTGTAGAGATGAACAAATGGATAGATAGGCAAACAGATGTTGTGGTTACGTTAAAGAGGGAATGTTTTCCATCTGCCTCTTTTATATGTGAAATTATTACTGAGCCTTTAATATTTATTTATGTATTGGAATTATCAGTGATACAGTATTAAGTGACTTACAATATTAAGTGACTTTTATTTCACAAACAAATGCCTTACAGATTATGTCCTGCATTTCTCTTTTTAAGATAATATTATCGTCGTCTTTATGGATGTTTTTGATGTTTTTGTGAACATCTAGAATTTCCCCACTTGGAACAAGTGGTCTTATCAATCATCCTTACAAATTCTCTGATTTTTCTTGTGTTCCCGGTTTACAAAAAAAAAAAAAGAAAAACCACCTTAGCTTTTCTCTTAGATCAAATATTAAAGCACACACCAGGCTGCAGTCACATCTAAACTTTTGAACTGCAATTTTTATTATTTTGCTCTTTGGAGAGAGCGCCTGATTTTATAGAATTGATAGTAACAGTTTAGCGTGTCCTAACGTCCTTTGGGAACAGTGGTGTGCTCAGACAGATGAGGAGTCGTCTGAGTTTATGAGAACATAGTCACAGTCTAGCTTTGGAAATTTGTCTTTGTGCCACCAGTGTTTTTCAAATTCTATCAAAATGTCTTTGCGTACTCAATATACTCTCCCCAAAATGGAAGGCAGAAACAATTGTGATTTTTAACATTTTCCCAACGTTATTTCACTGGTAGCTCAGTTTCACTGTAGCATTGCCTCAGAATCTCAGTTTTATTACAACAAGTTAGAGCTATGTAAATTCTCCTCTGTGTGGAGTCATGTATCTAAAAGGGTGTGAGCTGGATTCAGCTCCTGTGCACTCTTCTGCTAATAAAGAAATCCCTCTGCACGCTAGCATTTTACCATCAGGCTATGAAGCCACATTTATAAATCCCTGCCCTGTGCAAGAGAATGAAATTATTCCTGGCTATTGATTGCAAGGCTGTTAGAGCCTTAATAATAACTTTCAGTTGAGCATTTCCTTCCCTTTACTTCTGATATCTTTGAGCTGTGCACCATAAAGGACAATCAATACTGCCAATATCAGACCATTTTGCTGTAATTTCCAAAAAATTTAAATGAGAAATTATCAAATAAGTCGGTTTTTGTCATTATGTCTTGAAAATGTAAAGCAAGTAAAGAACTATTGACTGTTCTTTTATATAGATATTATTTGTGTGTATATATGTATACACACTTTATATATGTATATGCTTATATATAATAACACATTTCTTATTTTATATGGTGATTCTGCTTCTTTGAATATCAGTAGAAATTTTGCCGTGACGTTCTTTCTTACTGGAAGTCTAAGTGACTATGTACCTTGTTACCTGCTGACTGAAAAGTAAGGCTTCACGTACTTCATGTGGATGATGAAGCACTGAAGCCAAAATAACCAACTGTATCATCTTGGCCTGATATGAAGGAAGCAGCTTTATATAGTCCTGTAGACAGTCAAGTTACTTCATTTGAATTTATTATTTTACCATATTTGAGTTTAGAATTTTTGAAATAAAATAGTTAGAGGTAACATTACCATGTTCCGAGCATTGCCATCTATAGAATGTACATCTCTACAACTGTGAAAGTCAGTGGGAAAGAAAACTAGAATGTGTTGTCCAGTATAATGCCAAGATGCTTGTCGTGGGTTAGCCCCAGCCAGCAACCAAGCACCACGCATCCCCGATGGGATGGGGGAGAGAATCGGAGGAGTAAGAGTGAGAAACACTCCTGGGTTGAGAGAAGAACAGTTTAATTATTGAAATAAAGTAAAATAGTAATGATGATAATAATAACAATATAATAATAACAATATACAAAGCAAGTGATGCACAATGCAATTGCTCACCGCCCGCCAACCAACACCCGGCCAGTTCCCAAGCAGCGATCGCTGCTCCCTGGCCAACCCCCCCCCAGTTTCTATACTGCCCATGACACCATATGGTATGGAATGGCCCTTGGGCCAGTTTGGATCAACTATTCTGGCTGTGCCCCCTCCCAGTTTCTTGTGCACCTGGCAGAGCATGGGAAGCTGAAAAGTCCTTGACTAGCATAAGCAGTACTCAGCAACAACTAAAACATCCGTGTGTTATCAGCGTTATTCTCATCCTAAATCCGACACACAGCACTATGCCTGCTACTAGGAAGAAAATTAACTCTATCCCAGCCGAAACCAGGACAATGCTGTACTCAGATTCAGTTGTCCTTTTTTTGTCTGAGTACTGTTTAGCTGGGTAATAAGTATGAAGGAGGAGTAACTAGTGCTCAACATAAACAACACAAAGATTTCATTCTCGTGGTTTGTCAAGAGACTCTGGATATGTACGCACTGTAATCTGTAATGCAAGCTGACTGGTATTCTCATTTACCTTCTTTTTTATGTAACTGCCTGAATAAAAGGCCCTTTAAAAGATAAAACTGCTCTGTAATACCTTTTTATTTTCCATAATCTGGCATTTTGAGAACTGTAACCTTTCTTTTAAAGTCTTCTAATGGAAATACATAATATCGTACTCATTACACCATTTTAGCAATTACCTTTTCAGGAACACGTATTTACAATATTCTTAAAGTCAAATGTCACAGTATAATCATGTTTCATACTCTTCAGTGTTTGATCCTGTGTACATCCCGCTGTGAATCCATCAAAGAAATTCTACCAGCATGGATTGATTGATCCATGTATGTATTTAAAAAGTTGTCTTGTGCCTTGCTGAAGGTGTAAAGGTACATTTGTCATTGGGAAGATTCTGGACCTTGTCAACATTGGCCAGTTAACTTCAGCTGTGAGGTGTGTCTGTGGCTTTTGGCTCTAAGGCATCATAGTGCCCCATGATTCTAAATGCAAGATCCTCCTTCAGTTTTGGCAGAAACAACTGAGGGCAACTTGCACCCCCAGCACAAGTGGCATGGTCATGCTCGCCTGGGGTCCACAGAGCACTTGCACAGCTCTCAGCTGATGGAGGAGCAGAGACGTGGGTTGTATAGGAGCCGACAGCCGCAACAGTCACAGGTGCTCTTACTCAGCTGGGAGCTCGTATGAACGAGGCACAGTTCAAAGCACCTGAACTGCAAGCGGGTCATTGCTTCGTGTCAGTGGCTGGCTCCCAAAGCAAAGAGCTGGCAAGCTTGGGAGATTTGAATGCTGTTCTCCAGGAAATGCCTTCCTGAGTCAGGGGACTCAACAGAAAGGCTACAGAGATTCAGGCTAAAACAATGCTCTAGTGGCAGCCCTGTGGCCGAGGCAGTCCTTGGTCTTGTGAGCTGCGTAGTATCAGTGCCCCTTCACTTGCTTTCTCAGCTCAGACCTCGGGGCTTGATACAGAGGAACACCGAGATGCTCTAAACTTCTTTGGGAGCATGCTATGGCATGAGATTTAGATCTGCACCTGTCAGATAAGAGTGCACTGAAGAAGCTTGCTCACTTACGTAAAACAAAGGAAAGAAGGTGCAAAGAAAGCTGGTGTTTCCAAAAGAATATGATTGGTACGGTCAGCCTGGAATGTGTCCTTTTTTTGCCACAATTTCTGAGCATGTAGCACAGTAAGCTATTGTTTAAAATTAAATATCCTTTCCCAAATTCTCTTGGGGAGTACTTGCCAGTCCTGGAAACCATCCATCTTCCTATAGACAATCACTGTATTTCTGCACCAGAGCCCGTTCTGCAAGGCACATTTGTGTACCTTATTTTTTGTGCTAATGTAGGTCTTTGCTGTTTTTTCTTGAAGGCAATCAAAAATAGTCCTCCAAAATATGCTGAAATAGGTCTCCAAATGAATTCGTTCTTAGTAAGTTTGAGAATCACCACAGTAGGCAAAAGCATTTGAAGAAAAACTGCTCTCAAAATAGCTCAATTAAGAATACTAAACAAATTGTACTCACCTGTACAGTAACTACAGGCCTTCAAATGGATTATCCTTTTAGATTTTCCAATAAGTAGTCACCTTTCTCTCTTTTCACTCTCTTTCTGTCCCTCTTTCTGTCCGTCCCCCCCTCTCTTTTCTCCTTTTTCTTTTTTCTTTTTTGTTATTTCCTATAGTCTGGAGAGAATCCATAGTAAAAATAAATATTCAGAGTGGTAGTGGTTTCTGCACTTTTTTTGTACTCTTGGTGAGATAAACCCGGTTGTGTGTTTGTGGACGGAGTGGGCGCTGCCGGCAACGATTCCCATGTCTGAGGCACGTCCGTGTAACAAGGGACGCAGGGGCTGTCACCTTGGAGGACCCCGGGTACGGTACTGGGCAATAACCTTCCCTCGGCATTACTCTGAACCACTGGGAGGATAGTTTAGAATTCATTTACGTTATATTGTTTCACTAAAAGATTGCTGGAAATCTTGAGGTGTGGTTGAAAGACTTCCGGTACAGAGGGTATTCAAATACACAGTTTCCTGTCTTTGCTATTTTCTGTGGATATATGCAGTACTTATCGTACAGTATTTATCATGTAGTTCCTTTCGCTTCTTAAATCACACGGTGGTTTTTACAACATGGTTCTTTGTCTTCTTTTCGTAGGCATTTCCTATTTAAACATGGATCTGGGTCTTCAGCTATCTTCAGCGCAGCCAGTCAGAACTATCCTTTAACATCCAATACTGTTTACTCTCCACCTCCTAGGCCTCTTCCTAGAAGTACCTTTTCCAGACCTGCCTTCACTTTTAACAAACCTTACAGGTGTTGCAACTGGAAGTGCACTGCTTTGAGTGCTACCGCTATTACCGTTACCCTGGCACTGTTGCTAGCCTATGTTATCGGTAAGCCTCTCTTCCTTTTCTATGCTGAATTATTCTTTACCTTTTCTGTTCTGTTGTCTTGCTTGCTTTTACGCTAATACAAATCATGTTTTACTAATAATGTTTGCCATTGGGTGTTTTGTAAATTCTGGCAAAAAAAAATGCTAGGTTGGCCAGAGGTTGAATACGACATGGAATTCTCATTAACTTTCTACTCTGTTAACCTTGCTACTGCCTAATAGGGAAAGGATGACATGTTTATACTAGCAGAGGACTCCTACTGATTTTAATTGCTGTGATATTTTTCTTAAAGTAAACATTTGATTTTCATATTAAGGCTTACAACATCATTGTCCGAAAGAATTATTTGGAAAAGACTGGTAACACTTAATTGTGTTTTGCCTTGATACCTTTATTTCATCAGTCTGATCACAATTTAAATATTTCATTTTTTCCTCTTAATTCTTATAACATTGGCTAGAATGACAGCTGGCTCTAAAAATATATAGTATTTTGCACCATGTTTTCTGAGATATATTTTGCTGTCCCTTTATTGAATTTATGTTTCAGAAAAATGTTACATAGATTGAAGTGCAGTTACTTAATTTCAGACTCATCTTTGTAAGTACCTAACTTTGCAATTTTGTTCTCACGATAAATTGGCAGGATTTATCAGAGCAGCTAGAAACGCCTTCCTTACAAAAAATGTAAGATAGATATATTGGAGGTGGGCTTGGAGTCAGTCATACATGGGAGACCAAGTCTGTGACTTACTATATGAGGTTTTGGCTGAATGTTAATTATCGCATTGGTTTTTCAATCTGAATTGAAAATATTACAAAACATTCATTACGTAGAATCTTGGAATGCGACTGTGGCTTCTGTAAACATAGAGAAATCTAATTCATTTTTGCTTGTGTGACACACTTTCTCACACACACTTTTGGTTTGTTGATTTAGTTGCCGGTTTGCAGGTGGGCAGGAGCCAGAGTACCCCCAGCATCTTATAGCTCGAATGGGATAACTCTGGGTTTGCCTGAAAGAGTGGTTTGTACTTGGTAAAACTTGTACAGAGATACAAGTACAGATACCTCCAAACCGATAAGTGGCCACTGATTTTCTATATTCTCTGAATAAATGTCTTTATAGTGAAAATTATTACAATTTCAGTCATTTTTGTTTTCCACTGGGTTGTTTTTTTTTTTGTCCCATAGTGACAAAGTTCTGGTTACTGTCAATGAGATGCTCATCAGGAGGGATTTTTTTTAACATCCTCATCTAATGCAGATGGGAAGGCAGATTTGATCATTTCTGGTGTATGATTATTTGAAAGCACCTGAGGATCTAGTAAGCTACATTAATTGCAGATTTACGTAACAGCTGGTGAGCATATGCCCTCAGTTAGGACTGGCTGTATAATTTTGCAGCCTCATCTGCTTGCTTCATATATATCCTACCCACACCATTTTGATTTTATCTGGATGAAGCACTGTCTGTTTCATCCCTGCTTAGATTTCAGTCTGCCACTGACAATTTAACTTCCTAGAGATATACTGCTGCATGTTATCAGCCTGAGAAGGCTGTAAGCGCTCCGTGTCTCTATGAATTAAAAAGCTTTATATGAATTTCCTGTAGACGTGTCTGTGTTTATCTTAACCTAGTAACACAAAGATGTAACAGGTTTTCTTTAGTTGGGCAGAACTAGGTAAAATGAAGATAGCTTTGTATTTTATAAATTATTAGTACTTCTAGATATGTGTCCTATAACAAAATATAAATCTCTGAACCAGGAATTCTAATTCAGAAAATTTTCCAAGATGCTATTATTTGCTCTTGTTTGCCCAAGAAATTTTTCTGTTGCATAAGCTTCCCTACGGATTTGGGTAGTATTAGTTAGTTTATTCCAAATTAATATTCATGCTGCCCATTTCTGGTTGGTTAAATATTTAAATAAGTTCATGGTCTGTTCTTATGAGTCAGGCACCTTAGTTCTTTCCCTTTTGTTAGGTATGAATAAGAGCATATAAACTATTTTCAAAGTTCACTTGCTCTGTAGGGTTTCATATTTGCCTATCTTTTCACGTCAAAAATTTAAATGTGCGTGTTTTAAATACGAGTAGTTGAATATACAAAATCAGGCTGTATGTAACACTCTGAAGTTAAAATTCACTCCCCCAAGTATTTTCTCTTTGCTTACCATGATTCAGGTCCCTCAGTCCTCACTCCAGGCAGGTTTCCTTCAAGTCAGAGGGAGTTATGTCTGAGCAATGACTGCAGACTTGGGCCCAAATTGCAAAAACAAAACTCATTTTAATTTCAGGATCAAACTTAACCTGGGATCAGCTCAGTGGTTGTTACTGGAAGAATAAGGGAGACTATGTAAAGGGAAAATTATTTTTACCATTGTGTTTTATGGCATGGTGTGCATTAACTTACAATGTGCTGCGATTTCAGGCCAAATGAACATAGATCAAAATTTAACATTAAGCTTTTTCTTTCCCTTACCTAATAACTTAAATGTGCTTTCTCAAATATCTTGAACTGCTGTTAGATGCATGAGCTACATGTTACTGTTAAAAATAGGCCCAAATCTCAGCCTCAAGTCAGAACATTCCCAAAATCTTGGAAACCTAAAGCTTATTCCAGATCAAAAATTTGCAAATGGCTCTTATATTTGTAACAAATTGAGACCTGTGCCAGAATGCTCTAAGCTGTGATTTCTTTTCAGTCAAAAGGTAAAGGAACAAAATGGGTTTGTTCTTTTATTTTTTAGTCTTTCCTTATTATCAGTGAGACTCAATAGAGAAGCTTTTACTTGAGAATACATACTTCTGTATTTTCTTTCCTTTGAACTACAAGTCAGCTAAAAAAAAACTTTTCATGTTTTTCTCCATTTTTGGCCTATAATCACCGTGTTTATTATTTGGTCCTTTCTGGAATAAATTTGGCTATTATATGGACAGTAAGGAAATTATAGAACCCTGTAAATGGTTGTGTAACAGCCAATTTATTGAAAGTCTTTAGTCATAATACTTAGTTTATCAAGTAAAACACATATTTTCACTTCAACAGGAGTAATTTCTGTGAATAGGTTCTAAAGTCATAGTAATTACTGCAGAAAAACCTCATTTCATAAAGTGGATGTTCGGTCTCCACGCTGTAAATGTGTTGAATTATTTTCTATCGAATAAAGGAATATATAGCTTTATTTTTCTTCTGTAATTTCATATATGTTGAGAACTGTAATGCATTCATAGCAATCTGGGGCACAATGGCTTGAATTTGCCCACGAAGAGGGGAGGAAGGCAGGCGAGCAACTGGGACACCCAGCACGGAGGTGATGTTGGTGCATGTCGGCGGTGCGTCAGGGGCTGCAGCGGCTTCACCAGCGGCTCCTGGGAGCTAGCTGGGGCTATGGGAAGTGGGCAGATCTTTCAGTTAAGGCAGAGTGAAAGGCTGAGTAGGGAAAAGAAGTTATCTGCTCTTCAGACAGCAATGTGAAATGGGCAAAATCTGCCTGCTAGCTCTCGCTGCCTCTGGAGGGCATATGAGCTGTGTGTGTTTTAAAGATTTATGCAAATTTATGCTCAAATTTTTAATTTTAAAAAAAAAACAACTTGAGGGAGAATTTTTGAAATCCAGTTACCTTAAAGTTTTTCTATTTTTTATTGTAAAACAGAAACTGATAAATCTCTGGCTATGTGTCGATGTATATTTCCCTGGTATGAGGTGTTTGAAAGGACTGAGCTGGGTCTGCGTCACCAGCCTAGGCTCAGGTATTTACAGAGATGGCACCTTGCAAAAGGGCAATGTGGAAAAGAAAACTGAAATTTCTCTAATACTTTTAAAATAGTTTATTTTGTCTGGGAAGTAAGGTGAGGACTAGCAGGCACTGTACATACTGATGTCCGAAGGCTATAACATAGATTCCATATTATCACAGGAAAGACAACATATCTATTTGAGTCAATGTAGTCAACACTTGTGTCTCTCTGTTCATCTGTTGGTCTGTGTTGCTACAAAGAGTATAAAATAGGCTACTGTTGTGGAAAACTGTAGTAAATATTCTCTTTTTTTAATATCATTATAATAAAAACCTAGGAAGCCATCAGCAATTAAAGAAGAAATTTGACAGCAAATTGAAGGGTAAATAAGGCAAATACAAGAGAGACAATAAGAAATACAATATTTTTTTCTGTAATTTTTCAGCACCATGCCATTCTCTTTCAGTACAATACAATGTTTGATGTGGCTGCTCATCTAGTCAGTTATTTTTAGCCGATTAGTAAGTAAGATTTTTCTTCCATGATACCTTACCATTTTATGAGCAGCTGATTTGGACTTGCAAATCATTGGTCCTATTGATCAAAGGTGCTGAACTCCTATGGTTCCTATTGATTTCAGCAGGAGATGCAAATGTTCAGTGCCTCTGAAAATTGCATCCCATGTTCTTAGATTTAACCATCCCTGACTGCAAAATGACTGTTTTATATACAAATGAATTCTCAAGTATGAATATGAAGTTGTCCCTATCCTTCATGGTATTATCACTATTTATGAGTACGCACTGGAGATGGGTGTTGGGTCTTAAATTATATTCATATGGAGGGTGAGGAAATTAAAACCTCTCTGCTGTCTGCCATTGTGACCTACCATTTCTCATGCTGTGCACAAGGTAGAGGAGTGATCGTTTCAACATCGGGAAAGGCCAGGCCAAATTTTAAGGACATATGTATCTCAGTGCATAGATTTATAATACTGGTTGCATAGCTTTATACAATATAAAATAGAAATCTTTAACTCTGAGAACTAGAAATAATGGAGAGAAGGCTCAAGGGGAAAATAGGCTGGTTTTACACTGAAGAATATCATGGTATAGTAAACATTGCTAAATGTTTCAGGTATCCGTAAAAGCTCTGATGCAGATCTGCAACTCTGAAATGTTGAACTCCTTAGTGGGATAGGTCTCACCGAGACAGGTACATCAGAGTTTCACAGCTGGAAATCATGGTGTCTGTTCT